TTTCTTCTCTACTATTTAAAGAGTAAATCCATACAGATAGAAAAAAAAATATACATTATTGCACATAAATATTCCTTCATAAATCATGATTGATGGACTCATAAGACAGCATGACATGAATTTTAAATGGACACAGCAGCCCATTTATTTAACAAATATAACAAATAACAGTTATCAATCCGAATAACCAATATTAAACATTTTCAAATAAATGACATAGAGCTTCTTGGTTACAAGAAGAGATCTTTGTCCATCATCCAAAATAAGGCTTTACTAAACACCACCCATTCCCCCACGGTACCCACCGCACCCCCACCAGCTCAAGGATAGCTCCAAATCTGACTATCCCTATTTTAATTTTCCAAGGGACCAAGTCCCTTCAACTGGTGATGAACAAGGGAGGGCAGGTGGGACAACCTTCTACCCTAGTCGATTGTCCATAAACAAATCCTTGCAGTATCCGCAGATCCTACCCATGCGCCTCCTCCCTACCATCTGACCCAAGACCTCCAATCAGGTAAGCCCTGCTACTTTTTCTAATCCTTAACCCTTTCCTGGGGACTATTCCTCCCCACAGTCATGTAGCCCCTCTACTTATTTCTCTGGGTCTGTCTTTAAAGGAGAACTATGGGGTCAGGGCTTTTCCCCATAGTTCTCCTTAGGGTAACGGGAGGACACAAACTAGCGTTCTCCCGTTACCCTAAGCTCAGTATACCGCGAGCTACAGCTCGCGGCATACTGAGACGCCGCAGCCGGAGCGGATCCCGACATCGATGTCGAGATCCGCCCAGCTGCGTGAGTGACAGCTGGCTCTGCCTATCTAGAGGCAGAGCCAGCTGTATCCGCCCCTCCCCCGTCCGATCCGCCAGTCAGCGCTGGCGGATTGGAGCGGGGAGGGGGGAATCCAGCCCCTTCCCTGTCACGGCAGAGAGCCATGACAGGATCGAGAGGTGAGCGAACGCCGGTATATGTTCGCTCACCTCCCGATCTAGTGAGCCGACCTGTGAGAGTCTCATTGTCACAGGTCAGCTAGAACTATGAGGTGAGTGAAAAGCACTCACCTCATAGTTCTCCTTTAAATGTAATTTTTTTAGTTATGGGTTATGCTGCTTCAATTACCCACATATTTACTGCTCTTGACAAGTATTATCCTGTCTCTCTTCTAATAATATAAACTGAGTCCTCCCATTTCAAGTTCACAGCAGCCTTACTCGAGCCATTGTGTTCCAAATACTGGAATACAATCACAAGACACTGAGAATGAAAATTCGGAGCCCATATCCAGAATCCATATTTTGTATTTCTGATAGTTGAAAATGTCCATTAAAAAGTTCTTAACAAAAGTTCCCAAGTTTATAGTTAGTTTATAGTTAAGTCTTGTGTAGAAATATAATCAAAGCCCTTTTTCCCGATTTCTTTCAATTCTGTATTTTGGCATAAAAAAATAAAAATAAATCATAACTGACTTACCAATAAATTACAAAATAAATGTTTATCTTTCCTGCGGGAATTTATGCTGCTGTGAGTTAAAGTGTATGTAAACCCTAACACAGGACTTGCATTATTTGCTCTCTTTAGGTCTGGTAAATATACTTTTAGAAGCATTTTGTTATATCTGTTTGATATGTACAAAAATTACTCATTGGTCTTGTCAGAAATTCCGAGCTGTCCCGTTTCCTTTGCACACTCCCTGTGTTATCTTAAAGAGCCAATCTGTTGTACAGATCTGTATTGGTGGTTAAGTAGTTTAGCAAAAGATGATGGGCAGGACTGACATTACTTAACAACAATGATGTGTGTTGTGAGACTACAACAGGGTTTGGGAACCTAGTATTTGGTACTGAAATCTCACCTCTTGCCATAGTCCATAGCCTATGGGTAAGTAATTGGGCCATGTTGGTGTTCCTTAGGGAACAATGAGTGCTTTTAGTACTCTTTATGTCACATAAAATGGATAGCTAATCAGCTTGTAACAAGTGGGTCAAAAGGAACCAAAAACTCTCTACTAAAGGCCAGTAAAATATAATTTTACCTTCTGAAAACAAAAGGTACTAGTACAAATCCAAAAACAATAGTTGTATTCCTCAAATGGAAAGTATTTTAGAACTTCTCAAGCCATATTTCCCAGCACCATATTTTCCATGTTCCACTATTGACCAACGGCCCACAACAGCTGTGGCAAATGGCTTTGTAAATGTATTTTGTATCTGTGTTACAACCCGTGCTTCTGCTTTTACATTTGGTCACAGTGGCATGAAAGACCTGCATTGCTCCAACAGTGTACTAGAATGAGAAATACTTCGCCCCCACCATTTTTTTAACTGGGTTGCATATGTAGGCTTTCTGTTATGCATGGATGCTTCAAACATGCCACAATCACCCATCACCAATTAATCTTTAAACCACTTCCTCCAAGTGCTACTATATTCTGAGAGGATGAAGTTAAGTCCAAAAAACTAATTCCAGTTCCAACTGTGTAAAGGATTTTGTTTGCTAGATTTGTATTCCCAGCAGAAAGCATTCTAACTGCATATATTCATAGTAATAAAATAAAAAGAAAACAACCTTATCAGTTCTCTATCAGTGTTAATATCACCTTCCTGACAAACTTTACATTCCAAAATTAAGAACGGAAATGCTAACTCTTGAATGCCTGCCTTACAAAAAAAGGAAGTGGAGTCTTCTATTGCAATGGTACATCAAAAGGAAAGAAAAAAAAAGAGAACAATGGTGATGACTTTATATTCTAATTGTCAACTGTTGCCTTTGGCTGCCCTGTATCAAGTGGAAGATGGAGGTGTACAACAAGTCATGTATGTAGGAAATAAAATGTGAAGCTCAGTTTGGAACATGTAGTAGGAAAAGGTCAAATGTGATTGCTTCCACTTAAAACATTGCAGTATATAAAACCTGGACATTTATTCATAAGAATAAATAAGAACCAAAAGGAACATTATTTCCATCCGGAAATAACCGGTCTTTATCTAGTGCAAAAGCATGGTGCAATTGTCTGTTTCATACGTAGGTGCACCCAGCGCATCTTTGTGTATATATGTGTTTGTCTGCGTGGGGGGCATAGGACTTTAAAAAGTGAGTATAACTTTGCTATTTTCCTTCCTAGACCAAAACGAGCACTTAACCCCATTGCAGTGCAGGAGTAGCTCCACTGCAAGGGTTAATAATAATTTCCCCCGGAGTTCTACTTAAGTGCAGAGTTTGCCTGTGTGTTGCCAGTGTACTGTTCAAATGACTGTTTGTCACCCAAGCATTTGGTTTGATTGCCCATTGTTTTTTCTGTATTGTCAAGTCACCGTTGCCTAGAGGACCATGTCATTTAATACATGGCAGGCCTGTCACTATCAAACCACCCCACTATTATTCCCACAATTATAAATGATTATGATGTATAGAGGATAAGGTTGTTCAAAAATAATCTTCCTAGGTGTTAAACATGCTAGGAATGCCACTGGGTAAGATTTCTATGAATGGAATTTGACTTTAGTTATATAAGGAATGAATATTTAAACTGCCCTTTATCATATCTGGGACTAAACTAAAACTATAACAGCCCAGCAACCACCACTTTTTAGGTCAGCTTCTTGGCCCCATATTTCTCACAAAATACATTTCCTTGAACTAGTTATTGTTCTTTAAATGTGGGATTGACGTTGCAAACGAAGTGTTCACTGAATTAGATGAAGCTGCATTCATCTCATCATGTCCAAGCAAAAATGTTTTTTTTTTCTATATACTATAATTACTTTGGATCAATTGTATTATTTTTACGCTGAACTCCAGGCAAACAAAAAATTACACATATGATATACATATACTGTAGAAGAGAGGTTATACCTGCCAAACTTTAAGTTTGGTTTTAAACCTATTTTATAGCTTCTTTTCCTAATAAAGACGTGACAAATGATTCACACAGCACTATGGGGAAGCTATAGAGAGAGCACATATAAAAGTAGGTCCCTTTCAGGCATGATCTGTCTTACTAAAACATAAAAATGAGTTGACCAATAAGGGATGAATCACTGCGATCTCTCTGTTAATTTGTAAATTCCATGTGTATAAAAGCACTTATGACCAGGACTCTATGTTGGTGCTATATAAATCCTGTATCATTTTTACAATCAGTGTAAACAGGCTTTTTACTGCTTGTGGCAAAGAAGCAAAGCAAAACATGTGAAAAATGAGAGACGAGCTCCTTTTGCTGGCTTGATAAAAGACTGCACAATATTCATAGACAACATTTGTTAACCAAATAAAACAAATTAATACTTAGTGTAGATCCTAATCAAATATAGACATCATTTATAAAACCACTATGCAGTGGGGGAAATGTATCAACACTGAAGCAGAGAGAACCTGGAGCAGTTGCCCAAAGTAACCAATCAGTTCCAGGTTTGATTAAATCCCCTCTATTCTGTTTCCAAGATCATAAATCACTAAGGGCCCATTCACACCAGGTTTGTTTGGACTGAACTGGCAGCCTTGTGCAGCATTGTTTTTAATTTACTCAGTTCAGGTCACCTTAAGGACTGCATGCATTTTAGTGCAGCGCGGTGTGATGCAACACAACTGCATCGCACCTTGCTGTGGCCGATGGAACATAATGAAATGTTAGCACTGTTCCCTCCCAGGACACACCAATGGCTTTAAGTTCAGCTCTGATGGCTGGTGTGAACCAGTCCTAAAAGGCTTAAAATGGTAATTCCACTTTTGCAGCCAGATTAGAGAAACCCCCCACTATATGTTTGTTATGTGTTCCCATTCACACAGCATACCGAAAAATAATTTAGCCAAAAACAAATTCTTTTAACTGCTTCTTTGGATTATGATTATAAATAGGACACTGCAGGCAGCTTCCAATGGTTAGAATAGATGCCCGTGAGCTGACAAGGGACTGACTGAGGGACAGTTTTTTAAAGTAAATATAAAAAGGGGAATTTAAAAACATGGAGCCGACAAAATCTGGAGCAGCTACGCATGGCAACCATTCAGCTTCTCTCCAGTTTGTTCAGTTAAGATTTGAAAGTGAAAGAGAGAAGCTGATTGGTTACCATGGGCAACTGCTCCAGATTTTGTCTGCTCCAGTTTTGATGAATTCCCTTCACAATGTCTTCAGGTCTTTAACCCTTTGTTAGGATAGGCAGTTCTGCTCATCTAGTGCTAATGAAATCTGCCAGCACAGTACAGACAGGGTTGTTTGAAAGAAAACTCCCCCCAACCCCCCAGACAGTGAGAATTACGCAGGATTTTTCAGTCCTAGAGATTCCAGAAACATAATTAAAAACAGGTGAGCTGCAATTTGTAAATATTTTCTTTTTAAGTCATGCAATGTGAATTGGAACAAGTAACAAATATGAAGTAGGTGTTATTCCAATTTGGCTGCAAAAGTGAAAATACACTTCACATTATAATATAGTGAAGTGAATTAGAATTTTGAGAAGTGATGTAGATGTGGGAAACATGGAACTAGCTAAGACAGAAGATTGCGCAGGACGGGAATTAAAAGAAGAAGTGAAAGTATAGTTTACTTCCTGGGTCACAGTAATGTTCTGAGAAAGTAAACATTTTAAAAAGGGTTTACTTCTTTTTTTTCCCCTCAATTGGTCATTATTTATTTTTAAAGAATATCCCTTAAAATGGATTTGCTGCACATGTACATCTAAATAAATAGCAATAGATACTGAGATATTATAACTAAAATTTATAATATATCCGGAAAAGTACAGTATTTTAAACATGCTCAAATTCTGGCTATTAAAGAGTATATTCACCTTTGCAAGATGGAATAAACACAGATTATATTTGTTCCCATTTTGTTGTAACACACTAATGTGCTGTGCCATGCATTGTGGCCCACTATAACACAGGTGCAATAGGGAAGGTGAATAAAATGAATGCCACAGCATCACACCAACGTGTGTAATGCACAGCACCACATGTTGCAACACAGAAGTGCAATTCAGTTATTAAGCTCATCCAGTTTGAGTTAAGATCTACAATAACATAGCATTACCAGTGCTATAACTATACAAGAGATACATATATCATTTTTATGGAACAAATAAGGCTTTTTTGGTGACGTTGTCTAAAACGTACTTATTTTATTTTGTGATTTTCCCTATTTCTCGTGACACTAAAACTGGCTTATGTGCTAAACAGATACTAAAAGAACATACATTGGGATTAGCTACTCCTGACAGCTTTGGCTAACTAGAATGTGCCTATATTTGTTTACAGCCTGACAAGCACTGATGGTTACAGCAATCAGGGCAAAAGGACGTGTTACACAGATGGGAAGCTTGGCTGGCAATGGTGCCAACTGCTTGAGACTGTTTTGGAAGAACAATTTATCTCAGTAGGGGAGTGCTTTAAAAGTAACCAGTCTGGATGGAATTCAATTTGTCAGCAACCATGGTTTTTACCTTAAATATACCAGAACTGCATCCAAGATCATGTTTTCACTACCAAGACAAGACTGGAGCCAAAAGCATCTCTGGTGTGCAAAGCAAAGCAAAAACTTAAATTTGGTTATTTAACCAAACCTTACCAAGTACAATGGGAAGATAACGTATGTAAGGCCCCTTTCACACAGGTGCTCTCAGTTCTGATCAGCAGGTAATCTGTGCACAGATACCCTGCTGATCAGAGCAGTTGGAATGGATGTCACTATTGTGACATCCATGACTGTCCAGTATATTTCTCCATCTTAAGATGGAGGAAAAAAACTGAACTTTCTGACCCATGTTAGGTCTGTGGCAAGTCGGATGTAAGTGGACATGTGTCTGTTTACATCAGATTATCCCTGACCCATCACAATCAGGTCCGCCAACTAACTTTGGTATTCCGATCAGATTCACCTGAAAAACTGATTGGACCGACCGCTCTGAAATGGGCCTTAACGAAACACTTTCTACTCAGCACAATGGTGTGATCCTAATACAGAGGCTGCAGTGAATAAATATCAACCATTCTCTTCATGCAAGTAATAGCCAATGTTGGCCTAGTTATTGAAAAGATTGATAAAGTTTCCATACAGAGTTGCCATTAATATTTACACATAAAGCCTTAAAGTGGACCTTTACCCCCTTTCATCAAAAAGTACATCAGCATGCAACTCTACATGCTGATTAAAAATCATATTACATCTGTTTTACAAACATGTTTTATTTTACCCAGAGTGGGGGAAATGTATCAACAGAGTATCAACTCTAGACTTTGTGAGGCCTTAGGCGAAACTCAAAAGAGAGGCCCCCACTTACACCCATAATGAAAGAAAAAGCAAACAATTAAAAATGAACTGTATACATTGCATATTGTAAGACTAGTGGCGGTTATTCTCAAAGCTAGCCGAAGGATCAGAGCAAAAACCCTAACCCTATGGAAGTAACGCAGTGCAGAGGTCAGATCTAGGGAACGCACAGAGTGCAGAGGTCAAGATGTGACCAATGACAACAGTATTTGAAAAAAAAGAATGATCGTTTTTGGGTTTTTTCCAGCATGCATTTTTCTATTTTAAAAGAGGGGTGCTTCTAAAAAAAATAATTGCATGATGGAAAAAAAAAGATCATCTAAACTATTGGGGTGGGATGGGATGTAGGAGGCTAAATGCTTTCTATAAACACTGTAAATTGTACCCAGAAGCGGCCGCGTCACCGTGTCCTGGGTGCTTTATATCACGTATATCAGTGCTCCCCAACCTTTTTATCGCCGCGGACCGGTCAACGTTTAATAATTTTACCGTGGCCCGCATTTTCGATGTGTGCACTGCAGGGGGCACACACACACATTCCTCCTGTGACTCACCTCAGGAGGTGAGGGGAGGGGAGGTGAGGGGAGGTGAGTCACAGGACCCAACACCTCACTGTGAAGCCCGTCGGCAGTGCGGGGCCCCGGTGTTCGAACACAGGGACCCTGCACTGCCCCATATTGCAGGACCGGACCGCACTGAGACTGTGCGGCCCGGTACCATTTGATCCGCGGGGGTTGGGGACCACTGACGTATATGATTCGTCACCAACCCGGCCGGCTCACTTTGTTTTGGGGCAGGAAGGGGCCCCCCTCCCGCAGTGCGATTGCGGCATGTGAATGCGTGACACATTAGTGCCTGCGTTCCGGTCCAGTGCAATCTGCACAAAATAGTGCTTGTAGCATTTTTGCAGATCGCACAGGACCGGAATGCTTGCACTAATGTGTCACACGTTTGGGTGCCGGCGATTGCACTGCGGGCGGGGGGCGTGGCTGCGGTGCCATTGAGTTCAATGCACTGCCACGCCCCTTCCCAAAACAAAGTGAGTAGGTTGGGTTGCGTTCCAGAGGCCGAGCGCACTCCTTATGGTGGGACTGGGCCCTTAGGGCTTGTTCACACCAATTACGGTGCGTCCCAGAGCAGTAGCTGCTGGAACGCACCACAATCTCTCAGAAAACTTCCCCCTGCGTTCTGGGGTGGGAGGGGGCGTGGCGGTGCATGAAGTCAATGGCACTGCAGCTACAAAACATTGCCTGCGTTCTGTTCCACTGCAAACTCAAAAAATGCTACTTGCTCTATTTTTTGCGTTTGCAAAAAATAGAAAGGAACACAGGCAATGTTTTGCCACGCACTCGATCGCAATGCGGGCACGGGCGGGCGTGTGTGTGTGCACAAGCAGTGCCATTGAATTAAATGCACCACCATGCTCCCTCCCGCCTCAGAACGCAGGGGGAAGTTTTCTGAGTGATTGCGGTGCATTCCAGCAGCTACCGCTCTGGAATGCATCACAATTGGTGTGAACAAGCCCTTAGACACTGTGAATTCCTTTTTTTTTTTGCTACCCTGTATTTTTTATATATTGTACAAAGTGCAAAAAAAATAAAACTTCAGAAATAAATGACACGTTAAAGAAAAAAAACTAAAAGAAGGGTGCTTCACTAACCTGGACTCCTGATCGAGGGGTCAACTCCCTGTGTCCCACCACTTGTATCAGCCTCCTCTTTGTCCTCCTCCGATGCCACCGCTGGCTGCTGCAGGAGCGGGTGCCTTTCATCTCCATGACACGCCGGGCGGGCTCTCTCCTCTGCAGGAAAGGAAGTGAGAAGTGGCGGAAGTATTTCCGCCACCACTAGAGGGAGATGCCGCGTCTGAGGACTTGC